GACTGGCAGCTACAGTCATGTTGGCTACATAAACACAAACACACAGATGCCTATAGACCCGCACGCACTTAAACAGTTAGATGAGTGCCTGTGTTTTCTCTTTGGTTATCTTATCCAGTCTTTCACAGATGTGCGGACAGCTGTGCTCGATCCGTCTTCTTCTTCTTCCTCTTCCATCCTCCTCCATCCAGGCGTAGGCAGATTCTCTTTTTGTTTGGATAGATGGCAACACCACTGCTGCAAATAGGTCTGTGTCGCTCTCCGACTCCCCTCTCTCCCTCTGTTTTCTCAGTCATGTGGCCATCCACACAAAGCACTCATCCTCTTATTTATCGTCATGCCCTCCCTCTTTCCCTCCCTCCCTCATTGATCTTACTCACTGATATAGATGTGAGAGTCTTAATGGAGGCTTAATAGTAAAGGTAAGGAAATCCCAGAAAGTTGATTCTGTTGTGGACACAGTCGGGTTTTTTGCTTTTGGGTCGGGGGTACCACGAATCTCGGGATGTGCCACAATTCATTGTTCATGTTAACTTCCTAGACAAACACATAAAGTTAACCAGGGAGGGACCAACACATACAGAGCAGTATTTAAGGTTTGACTCGTATCATCATCCACTGGAGGATAAACTGGGCGTCATCAGGAGGCTACAACACAGAGCGAACACCGTTCCTGCCAGACACAACAGCCAGGGAAGGAGGAGAACAACATATCAAAGAGGCCCTGAGTAAATGTGCTTATCACAGCTGAGCGTTTAACAAAGCTGCGAAGAGGCCAAAAGAAAGCTCCGGGTGATTCAGAAGAGAAGAAGAACGAACGCTGCCCAAGCAAAAACCCTTGGTGATCCTTTATGTGTCAGGAGTATCGGAACAGCTGAGATGCATTTGTTCAAACCCCAAAATGCTACAAAAACGGGTTCACCCGAAGGATCAGGTCCAACAGCATAAACTGGGCAATACAGTGTTTGTGGTTCCTGGGAATTATATATCAGGGAAACCAAGGAACCTCTGACAAAGTGGATGGCACAAAATAGAAGAGCAACCTCATCAGGATAAGACGCTGCTCTGTATTTACACCTAATGGGCCTGTAAGTGTAAAAAGAAGGCTTGGTTCTTGGTTTGAATGAGGAGTCAAAGAGTCCATTTACGTGAAAAGGGAATGACCATCGTTGAACCAAGGAGGGGATCTACAATGTGGTTACGGTTGGTGGTTGGTTTGTTGGTGGTTCGATCCCTGGCTGCTCCAGTCTGCATGCTGAACCCTGAGTGTCAATTTTAGAAAACGCTTAGACATGGAAGAAAACGCTTCTGTAAATGAGACATGGATAAAATGCCTTAATTTTTGAGTAGAAGACTCGTTTCCCGCAGGCCTCCTTGTATATTGAGAATCAAGAACCTAAGCTTGTGACTTATTGTTAGGCAAAGGTTTTACTTTTAGTTTTAATGTCCTAATGGAACTGTGTACCGTTTATATGAGCTGGGACTGAAGGAGTCACTTGGTTGAGTGATGAAACTTTCTGGGAGATGTGAGTACCCTTTGCCTTGATCCATCTCTCACCTTTCCCCTCTTCATCCGCCTTCTTCCTCATTTTGTGCTAATATGGACCCACCTGGATTCCTCCGCCCATGCCTTTCATCTATTTAACTCTTCCACTTTCATGCTCATACACAACAAATGTGGAGTCCCACTTATTCCTGGGTAATTCCTTCACTTGGAGCTTTTTGCTTGTTACGGATGTCAAACGAGTCTTAGTGTTTTGGGTAATGATCTCTGACTGTAGGCTATATCAAAGATGGATGTAACTGCTGTGATGTCACCTACTGCTTTGTGAAACCTTGACTTGAGCTGGAGTTTAGGATAACCTATTACTAAAGTTAACTGCACATTAAAACAGATATTTGGTGTTGTCCACGTGTGCACGTGTATTTTGGTAAACTCAGCTTTTCATTTGCATCTTGGCAAATGAGATGAGCTACTCACCATTGGCATCTCAGCTGCAAATAGCCAGATATGATGGCGAGTCTGACTGAAACCACTGTGTGCAGTTTCACACCACAGATAATCCTCCATTTTGAAACATAGTATCACCGAGATTTCTAAAAAAAAGTTCTGCAATGATTCCAAACGACTGCGCTCATGAACTCTGCAGGAAAATATTGTGGAGGTCAGAACAGAAAGCCATTATCGCATAGACTTTTATAGGACGTCTTTGCGCACCCACAGGTATCGCCATCTGGTGGTTTTCAGACAGAATGCAGGTTTTTAGCATTGGCGTTTTTCCGACCCCAAAGCTACGTCCCTGTTTTCCGCTGTCTACTGTCTACTGAACATGTGATTCCATGAGGATCCGCTCACTTCTGGTGTCAGCCTTTAATTTAGGGAACTGCAGTTTCAGCCCCAAAGCATGTTCCTTGGTAATGATACTGCTTTGTAAGTAACACTCATGCATGCATGAAAAAGAGCATTTTTCTGATAAAGATCCAGTTTGACTCTTCACACTTACTCTCCTGCAGAGTGCCCGTTTTATGGAATTATCTTGTACCAGTCCTGAAAACTCTCCTCTCCAGCACACACTAAAACCCCAAACACAACATTCCCCACCTTCTCCGTCGTTTCCTGTTATCATCTTTCCTCGGATGTGTAATGAAAAAGGAGGGGTTATCCTGTCAACTGTAATAGCAGCATTTGGCCTTCAGTCTTGGCGGATGCACTCATTTGTGTGTGTGTGTGTGTGTGTGTGTGTGTGTGTGTGTGTGTGTGTGTGTGTGTGTGTGCGAGCGAGCATGTGATGATTAGGAGCCCTAAGATAAACGCCCCGTACTCCATCCCTATTTCCCAATCTTTGTCAGTCCATTTCCTTGAGATGCTCTCTCAGAAAAAAACACACAAATGCCAAAAGCCAATTTTTCTTAAGCTCTATAACTCTGCCTTTCATTTTATCTTCCATACTTTATCGCTTTTTCTCCATCGCAGCTGTCCGCGAGAGAGGAAACTTTCCCCCTTCCTCTTCCTCTCTCTTTATCTCTCTCAGCACCTACCACTCACTTTTAGACACAGTATCCCCCCCTTCCCCTCAAGTCTGAATGGTCTTAAACTGACTACTCTTGTGCCCTCTGGCCACATCTGCCCGTCTCGTCTACAGGCAGCCCCCATCTGAACCCCACCTGATCCACGTCCCGCCTCTCCCTTCCTACCCACTTTCCCTCAAAGTAGAAGTCCCCTCAGTCTCATTTCCTCCCCCCGCTATCTCAATTTCTCTATTTTCACTCATGTATTTTGCGTTCCCTCCCTCTCCTGCCTTCTGATCCTTCCTTGCTATACTTTCGGCACTCCGTTGTCTCAGCCCATTAGGCAGACACAAATCCGTTCGGGGACACTGAGCCTTGGTGCGACCTCGTCCCTCCTGACTCCCCCAGACCTCAGTGCAGCCAGGAGGAAGCTCTCAGGGGAGGCAGTCTCTGGCTTGCAGTTGGGGGAAATCCATTTAATCCTTCTCCACAAAACGCTGCTCTTTTTCCACCGCGTGGTGCACTTAGGGCCACGTGCACTTAATTAACAACACCGCTGCTGCACACACACACAAACATGTTCACACGGGCCCATTCCTTCTTTCTCGTGGATTTTCTTCAGCCTGTGTTTTTGCATTCGGTGAAGCACAAATAGAAATTTTAATATTTAACACAGTTGGATGACGATTGGAGTTCTTGAAATGATTTATACAGTTTTGTTTTCTTTAAAAAAAATGTGATTAGCAGGTCTGGGTGTGGGGGTGCGTGTCTGTACGAGGACTGAACTGTGAGCATAGATGTGTCCGCCAAGCAGCAGTGTCTGCAATTGGAGTGGAGCAGTTTTAAATGGGAGCAGACGGTTCTCTGCCACTTCGCTCCTTAGAGCTCTAATGAGAAGGAACAGAGAGAAGAGTTTCGGTGGTGGCCGCTGGCCTCGGCGTGTCACTGCAGCTCACATCTCTGCTGGCGCAACGACCTGTTGCCACCAAGAGGGTACGCGGACAAACTAGAGGATGACTACATGAAGACGTGGATGGCAGAGATAAGACTGAGACGCCAGGTTTCACTCTCCGTCATAGATCTATACTTTTTTCCTTAACTGTGTGTGTGTTTTTTTCCCAGCCAGCACCAAATGAATGAGCTGATTTTGAGAAGCGGAGTCCAAATCCAGATCCCAGGCGGACACAGATAAAGCAGCAGCAGATTGTTTTATCCCATTAGGCAGGGCGTAGTAAATAGGCAGAGATCTAGCTCTCTATTCTGGTGCAATCTCCAGCTGATCCTGTCACTGGCATCAGCTCTGTTGGCACTTTGTCTTTCAAGTGAGACACCCCAGCTTAGCATTGCTGTCTGTCTGTCTGCATGTCTGCAAACAGGAACAGGAAGGTGGTGGAGGAAGAGTCAAGAAGCCCTCTGTTACAGTCAAGCTATGCTTTCTCTGTTTTATTGAGGCTTCATTATAACATAAAATTACACGAAAGTGCTTTGTGTCATTTTTAAGTCACACTTGCACACATGAATAGTGCAGAACCACAGTTTTTTTACTCTTACTGCCAAATACAAACTCACCTATTTGATAGCAGACGTTTAAGGCCAGGGTTGCTTTCCATCACCTAGGCTACGTCTGGAGACTTTAAATCCATCTTTTGTTGATTGGAAAACGTAATCAGTCCGTGACAAGATTTCACGGGGGGAAAGCAGCGGGAACAGCGTGATTGACAGCAGCCAATCGGAAATGAAACGCAGCTGAGATTTAAGGTTAGAGTGAGGACTGGCCTTGTGAGAAGCAAAAACAGCGTTACCTTCTCCTCCAGCGTGCCAGTTTGATAAGTTGTCTGTGCTGGTCACCCAATAACAAGACAAGCATTGGAGGTGTAAGTGTGGTTTGGCATAATTGGATATTTTGTATTTTAATATTAAGACACCGCCTACACATAAATGGTGCTAATTCCTTTTTACCAAAGCTGTCCTCTTGTGTGGAAGTGACCTACCTTGGCAGCCATGATCATGGAGGAGCCTCCGCGTACTCCGAGAATGGGGATATGCGTCTGGGCTGAAATGAAGTCCAGGATCTGGGCGATGGCCTCCTGGTCAGTGTCATCCCCAAACACCACGCCCTGTAGCCAGTGCTCCGTCATGAGGTCGCAGATGCTCTTGATAATGCTCTTAGGGTCAGTCTCATTCATGGTCAGCACTTCAACATTCGGCGCCATGTGAATGAAGTCTTCCTTCTCTCGGGCCCCGGCCAGCGCTACTTCACTGGAGTTGCCCACCAGGACAACAGCGATGCTGAAGACATGCAAAATGTTGGGCAGGGCCATGTGGTGGGGAGGAGGCTGAGGGATGGGAATATAGTGGCTGCCACCGCCTCCTCCGCCGGGCTTGTCTCTCCGTGAGTGGCAGGCCGGGGGCAGGTGGAGAAGGCAGAGGAGCAGGAGAAGGAGGGACAGGCAGAGAGACGAACCGGTGCGGTGGTGGTGGAACGGCGGCGGGGGTGGATGTAGGGTTCGGACCCGTTCTTGCTCCTGAGCAACCGAGGGGGTGCCAGAGCAAGCCCTGGCATGGCCGCAAGGTGGGGAGCAGCCGCGGCATCCGCAGACAGGCATGGTGTAGGAGTGGGAGAGCAATACCTGCCGAGACAAGGAGGAGAAGAAGATGGAGATAGGAAAGAGAAGAAAAGGAGGTAGGCAGAGATTTGACAAAACAAGATGACAGAGAAGAAGGAAAGAGAAAAAAAGAAGCGGGAGATGAAGAGAAACAGAGGTTAACAAATGAACTGCCAATCAGGGCTGGATGCATCATATGAATCAAAGCATAATTTAATGTCAGTTCAAAGAAATGGGACAAAGAAGGAAGAGAAATATCAAGACAAAGCAAACTTTAAAAGGAAAATAGAGATAAGAGATGAGGTCAAATTTCTGGTATGGATACACAGATCTGATATTTGGATCAGAAATTGGACTGACAGCGATTCGAAAAGCTACATTTCCGCCTTCAGTTCATGCAGTGTTTACTCCACCCATCATCACTTCACCGACTAGTAGGGACGCTAACACTGCTTCAGTAACACTGATAGTGTTCCCCTGTGTGCTTTTCTATCCGGGTATGATTTTAGTACATTGGCAGCGTGTTTGTGGTCATTGCCATGCTGAAAACGAAGCTGCTGTCAATAAGATGCTTTCTCATGATTGTTCTCATGACTCATAGGTCAGTTTTCAAAATGCCTCTGAAAATGGTTAAGTACAAGGACTGAAAGAAACACTTTCAGAAAGTCTGGAGAACTACTGTGCATGACCACTTTAGAAATTATAACAAAGCCTGGCTACTTGGAACCAACATGCAAAGAAATAAGGGACGGCTCAAGACAAGGAACTAAATCATTGCTTCCTTCACTTCACCTGTGAGTAGTCGGATCTATTTTGTGTATGCGGAAGTAAACAAACGCTGATTGCAGAGAAAAGAGGAACCGCTGCAGCAGTAAATGGGAGCAAAGCAAAAACCTGAGTTGGAGCGAAAGGAGTGCAAATGAAAAAAGGCGAATAAGCCAAATACAGTTTTTGATTCGAGGTGTGTTTCATGTATTGTTTTACTAATAAAATCAGTACATATATTCTTGGATGTAATAATTTTGTTTTACAACGCTGCGTAATATCAGCGAAGATCCAAACTGTTGGTCATTTTATATTTCATCTTAAACATAAAGCATTGCTTTAGCTGCGCCTCCTCTCACACACCCACAGCGCTGGTTGCTGTCGTCATGATATAGCTTTGTTATATTTATCTTTTAATGAATATCTAGCTAAAAAAAATATAGATGATATTGATTAATATTCCAGTATCAACACTAACAGAGACACACGCGACATAATGGAGCACAGTTCAGAGTTTTCAAGTATAATCTTACAAGCATCAATTATTCATGTGGACTCCTGAAGCAGCACTATAGTATAAGGATGATATAAACTCTCCCTCCAGATGAGACGCCTGAGAGTGCAGCAGAGGAAGGAGGGACGAACAGAGCGAGCGAACTCAAAAACCATAAAGGGCAGATGGAGGGAGAGACGGCTCCTCGCCAACTTCAGCTGACTGACTAACTGTCTGGAGCGAGATGACTGACACGCCGACCTGAGACGAGGACAAACCGACTAACGCCGGAATTGATTAAGGGATTGACGGCAAAGGTGCTCGGAGCAGCTCGCGAGGCTTTGATATGATACCCGCCCACCTCACTCAACCCCTATTGGCCTAGTTTAAGCACTTTCACTCGTCTGCTGTCCGTCCCTCCATCCTTTCACCTCCCTCCCACGTTCTACTTGACCGTATCTCTCTCTCTCTCTTGCCTGCTGTCTGATTCCCTTTTCCCTGCGCATTATTTATAGAGCTTTTCATTAACGAAGATGCAGAGGGGCCAGGTGAGCGACCGAAGGAAAGGAAAAGAGAGAAATCAGCGAGATCCAGAAATGATTCGAGGAGAGGTGAAAAAGACAGCTGGAGCGATGACGCCGGACATGAAAAAGAAGATGTCTGTGTTCTCTGCGTGTTTACATCTGAGTGAGTGGGAGGGCATGCGTCCTCTTGAGCTTATCAGCATATAGCTGGTGTAGGTGTAACAGTCGGAGGGAATAGATGTTCACTTTGGTTTCGTGGGCAGACATACCCAGGGCGATGGGGGTGTAGCTTCTCATAAACTTGCTTCTGAGCGGTGTATTGTGCGCGTCTCTTGTACATGACTGCCGCTAACGAGGCAGATGGAAGGTACAAAGAAGAACAAAAAACGCTAAAACAAAGCGACGCTGACAGCTAGTAAGACAGGAAATGACAGAGAGGAAGGATGAGATTGAAAGAGGGATAAAGGGACGGGCGCAGAGATGACAGAACAACTTCTTTAGCCGAGACTAATTGCTGGAGGTTCGTCAGCGCTAATTACAGGTCCCTGTGTTAATAGTCAACTGCACACCACTCTCCAGGAAGGACCCGAGAAGCGGGAGGGATGGATCGAGGGAGGGCTGATAAGAGGCATGAGGAAAGAGAAAAGGAGAGGAGGAGGGCGGGCAAAGGGAACGAAAAGAGAGGCAAACTGAGGAGGACCTCAGTGAGAGGCATAAAATATTTTTTTTAAAAAGGAGAAAAAAAAGAGGAGCAGGAGAGAGGGGGAGAGATTAGAGAGCGGGATGGAGGAGAAGAGGAGAAACAAGAGGAAAAAGACAAGCAGAGAGGGAGCAAGAGAGAGAGAGATGCCCTCTTTGAATCTGGACTTCTCTGGCAGCACTCTGTTTCCATGGCAACAATTAAAATAAGCCTTCATGCGCACAGACACAGTTGATGGACACAGAGATACACACACGCACACTCACACATTTTGTAATAAGCATTGATCATATAAGTGCAGCAGAAGTCCAGAGCACTGCTGCGCGTCCTTAAAGTGGGTGTAGTTCACACACCAACTTATTACCATTAACATGGAGACCTTTGATACAGCTGGCATGTGAACAAACACACACACACACACACACATACAATTACTTTTTTTTATAATGTTCCTCTCCCTTTCTCTCCGCATCACATATATATTACCCTGCAGCCACACACACACACACACACACACCCCTGGGGTACAGATTATATTAGCCAACGCGCCGTGTAACTCCAACGATCACTCAGAAAGATGAGGCCATTAAAAAGTGCCACAGCGAGCCCAAGCTTGTTTCACAAAGAAACACAAAATGAAACTGTAGATTACACGGACGAGGCTCCGCCACCAAATGACCCCAATTCGCCGTCGCCCGGCCCTCACATCTCACCCATCATTTGCTCCATTAGCCACACGAGTGCACATCGCTGCCGTATCAGTTACACACGGATGGATCGTGGATAGCCTCCACCAGCTCAAGGCCACATAGGTTCCACCCCACTCCGACCCCAACCACACACACACACACAAAGGGAAGAACAGTTTTAGAGGGAACCACCTATAAACACTCATCTTTCTTTGCAAATGAATACCTATCTGTCCTATCTCCTATATGTGAGTGTTGGACCAAAACTTCAGGGACACCACACGTTTATACAGGAGTAACTTTAAGTGTTTAAGTGTGCCCTCCTTCTTTGGCTCTAATGAGAACTTAATTTACAAAATGGACATCATGTTTTATTCAATAAGATGTGAAACTAGCATTAGAGACCATAAACCCATTTCAAATAGTGAGATGAGGTTGTAGATCAAGGAAGCTAAAGGATCATTTTCTCACAGACTTTTATGTAATTGGTCTTTTTGCAATCATTACCGGCTGATCATTACAAAGAATGCAGACTTAAGGAGCTCCTGTTTGGGCTTTACACCATGTTCATCATCTTATATATACATTTATGGTGGGCACTTATGCCGTTCATCATACAGCAGCATAAACACACATATACTTTATTTTGTGTGTGTGCAGGTCAAGATGCTGAGGAGCCAAATATCTTCTGAGTATGCTGGAGCCCATTAACCGATTAATGGGTTAATTAACAGGAAATATATCAGCCTCTTTTATGATACTAAATTAAACTGTTATGGAAATTTTAAAATAGCCAAAGCTTAAAATAAGGTCCAGCAAATTTGCCTCTTAGGGACTATGTAAAAGCAAACCATCCACTATCGTAATGACTGGAGTTGCAATGCTGGTGTAATTTGCACAACATATTCTTATAGGGTATGAATCTATGTTTACGGTAAAATGCACAGGATCAAGGAGAGGACATTTCTTATAGTCACTATTGCCTCAATCTCCATTGCTGTAATGCCACAAGACATTAGGGGCCTAGAGAACAGTTATAACAGTTCTTACGGTAAATGTTCAATCACTGATCGGTTCCTGGAGTTTGCTGGCTGCTCTCACAAAGAGGCTGCTGTACCAAAAACCTCAGTGTGTTTGACTTTTTCACTTGCCGTTTTGCGCAGTTGCCAGTAGTATGTTTGAAAAAATGCTGAATTTGTCTATAAGCACTTTCTAGCTAACCCCGATCACTAGCAAAACTTATAAAAGGAAATGGAGAACCTTTGAAGTAAAAGTGGTGCCTTAAAAACAATTTATTTCAAAAAGCAAAACTTTTACTTTGAAGGCAAACTGTCTCGTTTTTCACTCCGTTTTTCCGAGCAATAGCCAGCTACCTCCAGGTTGGGTTTTTTAGGTTGTTTTTCAGATCTGGTTTGGAACTATGGATGAATGTTAGCCTGTTGCTAACTCAGGCACATGCACAGCAATATTTATTAACTCTTTTTTACCACTGGTATGTCAGGAGGCCCATTTTACAAGCACTCTTTAGATGACTGTAACTCTGTTACAGTTTGTGCTAGAGACAAAATCCAAATGGTTTCGGAAAGAAGGGAAGACAAGCTTTACAGGGATGTATCACAGCAGCATAAGACACTCCCACTGTCTGAAAGAATTAGCCTGAACACAAACAGAAAAATAGATTTCACCATGTGTGCTTCACATTACCATCATTCCTCAAACATTTTGGGATAGAGAGAAAATTCAAAAGGCTCCTGAAATTATAATATAGGTCCAGGCAGCCTGTTTGATCCTTGGATGATGATGGGTTAATGTGAACTGTCCCTGTTAAAAATAAAGAAAAAAAACAATAAAAT